CACATGAAGTCAGAGTGACGACACTGCTAGATGGGAGAGGGAGGAGTAAGGTTGGAGTAGAGAGAAAGTGACAGAGGTTGAAAAATAGGAGAGGACAAGAGAAGGTGCCGCAGAGGAAACCATGGCTGAGCCAGGCAGTAAGTAGTTATCAGTAGGACTCAAAATGGACTGTTCAGAATGAGGTAAAAAATGAGGGAGAAGACAAGTAGGAGGGTAGACATGGAAAGAAAAAAGTTGGACCAGTCCTGATGGAATGCATCTTCAGCTAAAGCTGAGGGTAGAGGAACAGGAGACCAGAAAAGGGGGAAGTAGGGTGTTGAGAAGAGTGGCAAAAACATGTAGAAGTAGAATGTCCAGATGAAAGCAGAGTAACTCAATTCAAGAGACAATCCGCAACAAGTCTCAGGGCACCTGGAATAGAACAAGCTATTAGATCTACTATTATAAGATTGGCCCAGAAAAGGAGTATGATGGTGTGGAAACAGGGAGAGCAAGACAAAGCGTCCCCCTAGCAATTGATAAAGGAGACAACTACAGAGTTGACTGTATGTATCATCAAGAGATGTCTGAGAATCATCCTAAAAAATCCAAAATTTGATTTGCTGCCAAAAGTTTTTAGAGATGAATTTGAAAGGACAAAACGTCAATGTACCAATGATCCAAATGCATGTGAGAGTTGAGACATGCCCCACATCTCATCAAGGTTGCATCGAGAAACAGGAAACCCACACAAAAAAGAACAGTAATACTCACTATGGAAGTAGTTTATCAAGTCACCAAGTGTAGTCTCTGAGTAAAGGAGGAGGAAGGAGAATGGTTGAGGACAAGAAATCCCAAACAAGGATCCAGAGAATGTGCAGTCCATTGTTGCAAATGATAACAACTCAAGGGGATACAGGATTCCATAGAAGTCTATGTCCCCATAAGAGAGAGAACTTCTTGGACAGTGAGGGAAGGAGAAAATATGGCACAGGAAACTAACTGCTCCATGTCCCTCAAAAGAAGAGGGCTCTGCAGACATACGAACAAAAAATACTCAAATGAATGACAAATGAAATGGGTGTGAGATGTGACTCCTCCAAGATGAATCAACCCAGACAGGGCCAAATGAGAAAAGAAGCATCCAAGATATCCACCTCAGTCATCCCAAGACCTGGGGCAAAAGACCATCATGAATTGGGAAAGCAAGGAGAGACAAGAAACCGACTAAAACATGAAAGATGTAAGACTCAACACCTATCTACAGATTCTCTGGGAACCATGTAAAGATGGGAAGAAAAATCTGGAAGAGGATGAGAAACCCATTCAATAGTGATTGTAGCCATTAAGACCAACATTGCCATGGACCAATGTTGGCAAGAAACAATATCCGTTGGAGGATGTAAAATAATGGGAACAGAAGACATAGGAGGAGGAGAGGAAAATGTGAAGGTTAAGGCTCTCTTACAGAAATCCCAGTACTCAACAACTGGCTACAAATAAAGGTTAAAAGTCCATAAACCAAACAAGACAGACCAGGCCGACCCTGAGCCTATAGGATGGCCACCACCAAGACTGAGAGTGCTGAAGTCTACAAGTGGTAGAAGGAGACAAATGGAAAGTGGTGACAAAGAGAGAAAAAGAAACAGGAGGACAGGAGATAGAGAGAGGCAAAGTAGGAGCACGGGAGAGATGGTAAATCAGTGAGGATTAGGCATAAAATTGGCATGCATTTCCAACATATGACACCAGAGATACAAGCATACCAGTAAAATCACACAGGCAGATGAAAGGAGCCAGAAGAAGGCATATGAGATATTAAGGAAGGCAACAGCAATTGATTAACAAGTGTATCAAGCCCCAACCAACTCTAGCAAAAGATAAACCAAATAAGAAGTAAAAATGTTAAGAAAGATAAATACACCACTGTAGAAAAGATAAGTGAATGAGCATTGATCAAAAACCCCACAGGGGAATGGTAGATTATCAAGGAAAGAAGGTTACAGAAGGAAAATTAACGAAAAAGGATAGTGTGTGTAAGATGAAGGGGGGAAAACCTAAGCCCTAGAAAGACGAAACAAAACACAGAGGATCTAACCCTCAAATATGAATAAAAGACTCTAGAGTTTAGGAGTCAAAGAAAAGCAATACAGCATAAAGTCATAAGCAAAGGTATGTCAGGGACAAAAGACTTCACCACCCACTGCACAAAAGCTGTCACCTCTACCAACAGACAAAGACAAACCCAATTCCAATATAGCTGGTAGCCTAACATGAACAAAGTCATGTTGTTTCACACCAGATAAAGTGGAAGTTACTGACACTTGTGAAACAACGTCATTGTAGACACTTCCACTGAAACACACCTATATCTGAAAAGTTCACAAGCAAAAACAATACATGACATTACACACACAAGTGCAAATCCTGAAGTGATGATTGTGCTCTACACTATAGAGGGAGTCAGCTGTGCTTGGAAGGTGTGTCACACTGCTGTTGGTGGAGGGTTGTCACATGCTCATCTACAAGCTACAATTCAGCTATATCATGTGTAAACATGTGATGTTAGATGGGAGCCTCCAGGCTTGTGGTAAATGAAAATTAAGCATATAGAGGGCAGCACAAATCAAGGAAAGCTGTTACGTAAACAAAGGTAATGTATTATATCAGAATTTAAACTATTAATCAAGGGGAAGACAGCCAGTCAGCAGCACCCTGGAATGGGTAAGTCCTTAGGGAATGGCCATCATAGAAAATCCACAAATACAGATCTCTAATCTCTAATGATGGCTTGACTTGAATGATCAAGAGATCAACATCACAGTAAATAAAAAAATGTGGGGCAGTAATGCTGACAATAACAATAATGTTGAAAAGCCATCAAAATGTACTACTGCAGAAATCTAAGAAGAGCAATACCTTTATCAAGGAATGCATTAACACTTGTTGTATGTCATATACCTAAATAATGATGAGTAAGTATAAAAATACACACACACACACACACATATATATATATATCAGACTTTCCACTAAGAAAAATCAATGCTGGTCACAGTGATTGTTTACTAATTATTTCACCAGTTGCCACACAAAATGTAACAATCATTGTCTAACACTTTTTAATAAACTGACAAACATACATTATTTATGGAGAAAAATGTTATACATGGAAGAAAATTCTTTAATGTAGGAGCTCTAGTTTTAATTAACCATCTGTTCAAGTGCTCAGTTAACTTCCTACCTATGCAACTATAAAATTTTGAATTTGCCAAGTTTTTAGTAAACATCACAAGTCACAAAAAATAAGATTTTTTGTAAAGTATTTTTTACTAAAGATTTGTTTGTGAATTACAAAGCTTCTATTGAGTCCTTCTATGTGAAAAGTTACTCTAATGCTATTAATAGTAACAATTATTTCCATTTTACAGTTTTCTTATTTTATTTGCATAACTCCTTAAACCTTCTAAATGAATGTCAAAAAATTTTCACATCCATTTCCTTTTACCATTATGGTTTTATTGTTATAATCCTTGCATTACAAGCAATAAATCAGAGCAGGAGCCAATTAGCCATTTCCCATAGAACTAGTTTAAAAATCACATGATTGCTGAGTGTAAATGTTTCCCAGAAATCTCCAGTTCATAAAATTTTATACATTTTATTTTACTGAAGTTTTGTCAGGCGAAACTGAAAAGTTTCTAATTTTTACATTTTAGATACTTTTGCTAGAAAAATATATTACATCATATGAAATATACACATAAAAACAAGATATTTTACAATCTAGTAAAAAGAACTGCAGCCCACAAACTGTTAATAACAAAAACAAATGCACACTGTCGATTGGCATGGGGCAAGGCACACTGAATCTGGAATGTGGATCAATTGAAATCGGTCCTGTGGAGTGACGAGTTACACTACATGCTCTTCCAGTCTGATGGAAGCATTTGGGTATGGAGGATGCCTGGAGAATGCTTATTACCTGAGTGTGTTGTCCCAACTGTGAAGTTAGGTGGCGGTATCAAGGTCTGGGCGTGCTTCTCGTATTATTGACTAGGTCCACTGGTCGCAGTGCATGCATCCATGAATGCTGAGACCTACAATGAACAATTCTGTGTGTCCCACATTGTGGCAATTTTATGGTACTGGCCCTTAAACCTTCAAACATGTTAATGCTCCATGTCAGAAACCAAGGATTGTGAATGAGTGGTCTGAAGAGAATAACATCCAAACATTGCAGTGGCCAGCACAGAGCTCTGACCTGAACCTGATAGAACATCTTTGGTATGAATTGCAATGCAGAACTAGGGCAAAGCTAAGATGGCTCTCTTCAGTTATGGAACTTACTAATGCTTTAAAGGATGGGATGGAGTACAACACCACCAGCTTTCTACCAGAAATTAGTAGACAGTCTTCCATGATGCACTGAAGCAGTCATTAAGGCCAAAGGCAGGCCAATACGCTATTACTTTCTTGGAATAAAGACATGTTTCATTCATAACTACTCGTGTCCCATGACTTTTGGTAGAATAGTGAATATATAATTAAACGTTAATTCATGAGAGAGAAGAAGAAGAAAAAAATCATTAGGTGGGTCATCATGTAATGTGCCCTGATATATGATCAAAGGATAGACACACAAATAGAACTATTTACAGTTCAAAAATGAATTTTTTTGTCCAACAAACAATTGGCACCTTTAACATCTAATGAAAACTAAATTTTAGGTAAAATCCAACCTAGACTTAAAGAGTTCAGCTTTCTCAAAGTAATTGAAAATAGTTAAAAATAAGGTTAACAGATTTGAAATACTGCTATGTTAATTTGACATTATTATCAAAAATCTGAAGATATTCTTAAATAATGTCTGTGTTACACCTAGAACAGAAGAAAGCATTGTAAAACTGCTATCACAATTACTGAAAACATATAAAATTATGCTCACTACTAATGACAAATTCTATTATTAGCTACCTTAAAATACTTTTGTTATTCCAAAAAATACTATTTTCACTTACCCCACAGTGGTAGATCATAAACAGCATAGTATTTTTTTCCCTCGCTTATGGGCCTACTGTCTGCCTCTCTTATACGAGAAGCAAATGGAAACCACTGAAAGTGAAGATGTCTTCATCAAGAAATGAGCCTATTTTTATGTATTCTAATACAGCAAGGTACTTTGAAGAAAAAAATATGCATAAACATAAAAAGTCATCTATTCAAAAATAGCTAGATACTTCAAGTAAAATATGCATAAACATAAAAGTCATCTATTCAAAAATAGCTAGGTACTTCAAGTAAAATATGCATAGATATAGAAATTCATCTATCTTAAAATAGGTAGATATTTCAAGAAAAAATTCATAGACATAGAAAGCCATTTATTTTAAAATATCTAGATATTTCATTCAGGAAGTTAGAAAGAAGATTCAAAAATATAGTTTGAATTATTTGTAATTGAAAAGTACTTTTCAAAAGCAGCATTATACTTAAAACAGTACTTCATGCAGACAGTGATAATACTAATACTAATACTAAAATTTTTAATAAAAAAAAATAATTACATTTTCATTTTTATTCTCTCTATTTCAGTTGAATTTGTATATTATTAGATAAAGCAGCAGTAACCGCAAAGAGTACTTGGTATTTTATTTTGTTGTTTAAAATTTTGCTAAGTGTATCCAAAATATAAACTTCAAGATTATTGAAGAAAGAACCCATTCATTAGAAAACTTTTAAACAACACACAACTGTGTAAGCAGAATATTTTCATCAGGTGTTGACAGGACAAGTCAGGTCTACGTACTTCAGGAAAACATGTTGACACCTAAGATCAAAGTCCTGCATCATATGCAACTAATCTTTTTTAAAAGTTATATATATATTTAAATAACATCTGACCACTTAGTGTTGAAAATCCTGTTTGATACCGACATGCTCATGCCTTCATTGGTATATAACAGTCATGGAATTTTCCATTCCCTTTTGATACATATATATATAATGTTTATGGAAATTACAGCTACCTTGACTTTACAAAACATGATTACTAGTTTTATCAACAGTGTAATAAATTTAAACGTATAGTACTGCTTTGAACAGAAGTGAATAAAAACAAACATAAATACAGTGATATTGTTGGCACATTTAATTACTCACTCTCATTGCTTGTATTTTAATATCTAGCATGCAACTATTCTTACCTGTATCTATAATATTATTTGTAAAAAGCAACAAGTTGGTGTGGAGCTTTGAACTAATAAAAGTTAACATCTTCCTTACTTGAATATGTATCTTAGGTGGATATTCATCTCTCTGCACTACAAAGAACTGTTACTTTGCATGGATTACCAAATAGTTCCTTGCACATGTCATAAGCTTTAAACAAAGCTCCTGCCCCTAAACATGTCAATTTGTATTATGCTAGCTTATGATATAATCACCACTAGACTATAGCTCTCCACCAACAGGAGGGCAACACATCCTCCATTGCATAAATCCCTTCAGCACTAGCATGTGAACACAGGCTAATTATTGACAGGACAAATGAAATGCACCAGAAGAGAGATAAAAGGGTGGAAGGTGGCATAAACAGGTGAGTATATCTCTCTCTGAAATACATTAGCTGTAAGGAAAAGGTTAATTTTAGAAACACTACTCACCCCTCTGCACCACAAAGAGTTAGAATCCCACACTGAAGATGGTAGAAGGTTGGTGCAAATATATTACAAAGATGAGCTCCTATCTGAAAACTTTGGATGAAGAAAAACAAAAGCTTCTGACTGCCCCAGGTTATAATTATTAGTCTCAAAGTGGGTTACTTGTCATCAAATTTGAATGCCCCAGGTTATAATTATTAGTCTCAAAGTGGGTTCCTTGTCATCAAATTTGAATGCCCCAGGTTATATTTCATTCCCTGAAGTGGAATGAAATATACTTTAATCTAATTTACTACCACGATTAGATTGGATTGGATTTTCTGAAAAGAACATCAGAAATTGAAAGCCCATGGGGTGTGAAATATATAAGGTGGGGGTAGTCTGGCTGGGCAGCAATTGGTGGAAGACTGTATCCATCTCAAACACAGAATACTTTTGCCCAAAACAGGTGGTAGAACAAAAATTCTTGTCATAAGAATCTTTTGCTAAATGCTATTCTGTTACTGAGGTTGGCAGAATGGTAAATTGCTCAACCATCCATTAGCTCACAGGAGGACAGCTCAGCATGAGTGTGTAGTGTGACTAGGGCTATGAGTAATGCTATTCCATACTGGAAAAATACTTATATAAGATAACACAAAATTCAAATGCAGGAAGTAGAATCCCAGAGCTGTTTCCCAAGGCAAGCCCAATAGCTTTCTGGATGAATCTAACAAGAATGGTTTGGTTCATAACATAGCAAGTTGTCCTGTACTACAGCACTAGGTAACACTTCAAATTAAAGGCATGTCCACTTGGTCTTGATTCAGTGGGCACCACTCAATGAACAACTCTTCATATAAACTTAGAAGAAATGGGGGTGGAATTCATGTGGGAGAGAATACTGGAGATGTGTGTGGACTATTTTCATCAGGCATAATCATCTGGAAATAGGTTCCACACTATGCAATGGGTTACTGCAACTAAAGACAGTTGGCACAAGCTAGGTGCGAGGGCAGGCACAAACTTGGTACCTTTGGTTTTTTGTCAAGTGAAGAATGGCCTGAAGGACAGAATATATACATATAGACACTGCCAAAGTAGTTTTGTGGAAAATCCCAACTTAACAAAAAGCACTGAGCAAAAGCAGATGGTCATGAGGTGAGGAACAATGAGAACTAAGAATGACATGAGAGAAAGAAGCATTCTACAGCAAGAAGAGGCGATGGGAGTTTCCATTGAAGGGGGCAGTTTGGGAAAGATAACAATGAACAGCCTGAACCAGACACAAAAGAGACTCAGGTCTGAACAATCGTACAAAGAAGAAATGGGAGCTTGGAGAAAACATATGATCAACCTCCTATATAGCCCAAGTTTTGTGGAGAATGGAGTAATCTAGAAATAAAATAAACTTTGTGAGGCATCCAATGCATAAATGTCTGAATGATACTTTCCATAAAGGTACAAACAAAAAAATTAGTGAGAGCCTGAAGAACAATGCAGTGGTTCCAGTCTGAAAGATGGCCCAGGCAAGGAAGACAACTGATGAGAAAAGCCTTGAAATATTCCATCATAATCGGATGGTTGAAGAGAGACACAACTGTAAAATTGTCCAAATGGATCACCACTGGATGATCCATGAACTCAGACTGAAGATATCAGCAACCTGATAAGCAGCTAATGTTTCCAGGATACTGATCTGAAGGGGCTGCTCCTTTAGAAACTAAACCTCTGAGATGGTGGGGAGTGTCCAAAAATGCCCCCATCCAGAAAGAGAGGCATCTGTGTATAGACAGGAAAGGGAAATATTTAGAGTAGTGTTAGAGTGATTAAGCCACCACAACAGAGAAATATGGAGAGATGAAGGTAGAGTCTCAAGGGCTGACAAAGAAATGTTATATTGATCAGTCAGGGTTCACTGAATGGAATGTAAACAGATGTGCCTGAGAGGGATAAATACTCAAGAGAAGAGAGTCCTAAACTGCAACAACCTCTCATGTTGGTAGAGTAGGAGACAGAAGAGACTTGAAAACCAGAATTTCTAGGGTGTGAAGATTCTAAGGAGTTGGCTAAGCCCACCCCACATGAAATGAGAAAGGCACTCATATGAATCATATATTGAATAGAGGTCAAGACAGACTTGGAGCACTTGACCAGTCAACCCAAATGGTGGAGGGAGTTTACCTCTATAGAAGCTCATTGAAACAGAGCCAGCAGGAGGCAATAGTCCATATATAATGGAAGTGTGGACCCAAAGTATATATATCTGCTGAGTGAAGGTTGCATAACTTGATTTAAAACATAAGGGACCATGACTAACCTGAAGGAAGAGCCTGGAACTGAAAAACATAAGTGTTGTTGGCAAACTAAAGGATAAAATGGGACAATGGACAAATCAGGATGTGAAGAAATGTATTAGAAACATCAACTTTGGTCATTCACAACCCATTGTGGACTAAAAAAACCATCCATCTTTAATCAAGGAATGTCAAGGAAAATTACAAGGTTATAAATTGATGACAGGATGCCAATTCCAATTATTTTTGGGGTGACAAAAAAAAAAACATGAATAAAAACCTTGAGAGAGGTGGAGAACCCACTCTATAGCTCCCATAGCCAAAACAAGATACAATCTCCTTAAGATACTGATGATATACAAGATCAGAGGAAGGTTAAAAAATGATCAGACAAGGAGAAAGTGAATGGGAGTACAAAACCACAGAGACAGACCATGAAAAATCATTTGCATGACCCAAATGTGGTTGGCAAAAGGAGTCTATAGGTGTATAGTAGAGAGAGTTGAGCTTCCCATGACCTGAGTCAAAAGTCAGTACGCAAGACAAATCAACTATATGAAATGCAAAAGGGGGAGGGTGAGAAGGGACAATAGGACGAGTAACAGGAGAAGAGACAACCTCACACAACTCTTGAGGAATGGATACCTGTTAGGTAACCCACAATCTGATAAGGCAGAAAACCAAAGAAACCAAGGAAAACTACTGGCAAACAGATTCAGCCTGAGAATCCAAAGAAGCAGGGACCCCTCTGAACCTTTCTTCATGAAGGAAAGAAGCAAGACAGAGGTCTCAGAGATGAGAGGGAGGCACACACTTAAAAGGAAGAAATCTCAATCAGGCAAATCCTAAAAAACAAAGATACAGCAGCAGAAGAAATCAAGGCCAAGATGGTGAACAAACAGGAATGAGTGTCTCTATTACAACTGCTAGGATTGTAATGAAGAGTTTCCAAGAGAAGGTGAAGCATTGACAAATATTGAAGGAGATGTGTGATGGTAAGATAGAAGCAAGTACATTGAAGATAAGTTAGAGGCAAAGCAGAAGAAAGTGGGTACCCCAAATGGGAAGCAGATATTTTAGGAACTGAGAATCATGATCATAAGCCACAGAAAAGGAATCATGAAGGAAGAAGGTCAAGGCTGATGTGGATCAACATGTAGTTAGGACATAAATGTCTGGAAAGGGATGGAAGATTTTTGTTTTATTTTTTGTAGTTAAGCACAAAGCTATACAATGGGCTATCTGTGTTGAGCCCACCACAGGTATTAAAACCTGATTTCTAGCATTATAGTCACACAGACTTACTGCTGCGCCACTGGGAGGCAGAATGGAAGAAAAAAAGTTAGAAGACAGAGGCTCATAAAACAAAGTAACCTGAGACTCATCGAAAGTACTGGAGAAAGACAGAGAATGTTACATAGCTGAATAATAAGAGATGCAAATGAAGAAGGTGGAGGTACCTGTTCCTCTTCAGGAATAAATGAGCTAGATGCAAAGGCAGGTGGATGGAAAAGCTGGATGAACTTGTGATCAGACAAGGCAGGCTCAGCACATGCAACAAAAACAGAACAGCAAGGAACCTGGAGGAATGAGGCAGAAGAGTACTAACAACCTGATGTATAATGGAGGTAATACTGCTGACAAAGTACCCCTGGTTACTGTTGAAACATCAAGAGTAAAATCCTGAAGTGGAGTGTCAGGGCTTTGGAATATACCAGAAATATGGTTGGCATTTTTCTTATATAAGTCTGCTAAATATACAAGGGTACTTTAAGCCAAACTGAATTACAAAGATAAAAACAGAAATCAAGGTTGAAGATCAAATTGTCAACCCACAAAATCTGAAAAAAGCATAAGAAAAAACTCATTGAAACTTTAAAAGTGCTAAGTAAAGACTGAGCCTGTGTTCACATGTTAGTGCTCATGGGGATTATTGCATATGGAGGGTATTTTACCCTCCTACCAATGGAGGGCTATAGTCTAATAATGATTACATAATATACTGGTACAATATACGTTGACATATTTAGAGGAAGGAGCTTTGTTCAAGACTTGTGGCATCTTCAAGGTAAACATTTTTTGTAGTTCAGAAATGTGAATCGCATTTCTGAAACCAGAGCATCAAGACATTTTTTTTCAAAAAACTACTAGACTACTTATAAATTATTCAAATTATTTTTTAAACTCAAAATAATTTATTTTCATAATACCTGTTCATAACAGCTTCTTTAAACTAAAAATAATAACATAAATTTTTTCATTTTATATAATTCATAGTTCTCTCCTACAAATTCAAATTACAAAACAGTATTGTAAACAATACAATTTGCTTTCACAAATCTATTTATTGTTCAACTTACTTTGTTCATGTAATCTGTTGTAGTAACAAAACCAAATGCATCATCCATATTTGCTTTGATGGTTAGTGCTTTGGAAATAATCCAGCGATTGTATGGAACATCTGTTTGAGAAAGAATTCCTAAGACAGCCGTGAAGAAAACTCCTAAAGCCTTCCATGTGATATACTTGTTAAAGAAATTAAAATACATAAATATTCAAAATATATAAATAAGTTTTATACAACATTTAATATACTGCACCAGAATTTATACTGAAATTAACATCTAAATCAAAATAGAATGAGCTTAAAATTTTACCTTTTGTATTCTGCCAATGATTCTAAATTTAAAGCAGTCAGGTGCATCAAACTATTTGATTCTAAAGGTAGAGGTATTGTAAGCTATATTTTCAAGGTTTTAATTTTAAATGTTTTGGTCATTATGTAATGATCACATCCTTATGATCTAGATATGTCATACAGTATTAAGAAAATTAATATGACATAAATATGAGAATCAGTGAAGTAGTGAGTTAATGACTTAGTTCAGTGCCAGTTAGACAGAGAGAGTTGTTGCATCTGTGATACAGTTAGAGTTAGTGTGTCTATGACTGATGTTCTACAAATAAGTTTTGCATTTGTGAATGTGAGTTGGGTGTATGTTAGTTTGGAAGATCTGCTAAATGTTATTTGAAATATTGTATTTGAAGTTAGGCCTATAAGTAAACATAACCTGAAACAAATGTTATTCACTTAATGAAGAAATAATTCAACATCATTACTAAGTAATTCAAGAGAACCTGGCCAAAGGTGGAACACATTTACAACAGTGATGTCAAAAGTGGAATTATTTTGATAAGAATTAAATAGAACTTTGACTTAACTTTAAGATGACAACTTGCTCAAAAAGCAAAATAGAAACTTTTCTAGAAATGATAAAACAACTAAAAGAAGGTTAAGAAGAAAGTGACAAAAAATTAAAAGAATATAAAAAAAAGAGAAATAAAACTAAAAGAACAAGAAGAATGAAACGGAAAATCAAAAAACATGATAGAAAATTAAAAGATCAAGAGATAAGAAATGAATATTTAAGAAGGAAGTTAAAATAAAGATCTATATTAAGAAGAAAATAAATTTAATTTTAATTTAAGACAAAATTCAAGAAGCTATTGGGTATTCATAGAAGGAATACAACAACAAGCTTGAAGAGTGCAGTAAGGCATCAACAAAGTACATAAAGACTGTAATTACAAAATTGAAGAAGCACAAAAGACATTAATGACAGAAAAAGACATTTGAAAAATGAATTGGTAAATCCAAAGATAAAAAAAACCACACCTCTTTCTGCATCTATCCAAGAATTCCAAACTAAAGCACCATTTGCTATATAATATGGAATAGGAGAAACTATTTGGTCTAATCAGGTGAGTTTCTTGGGATACATAAATGACAGAAAGGGAATGTTTACAGACTCATCTAAGTTTTAGTCTTGTCCAGAATTGGCCAACACCAAAGCAATTATGTGTGGTTAGAGGATTTCTTGGGTTATGTCAGAGAATGATTTTACAAAACAATGACACTATGAGCACAGTCAAGTGAATTTTATACAACTGCTAAAAAATTATCATGCCTGATACACAAAAGTATCTGATATAGACAGAATATGCAGCACCAAAGTGGCTGGTGAACTATTGCAACCCAGAAGGCAAGAAGGCTCCAGTAGCCTCAGGAGTATAACTTTTAACACTATGTAATACCTTAAAAGAAACATTGAAATACTGATGCATTTTTCCAAGTTTGCAAAATTCTGTAATTTTAGTCCAACATTTTCCTGCACTTTCAGCTCTACTACCTAATGCCTTGATACATACAGACACACTGTTACATTAGTACAAAAACAAACCAATACCTACAACTATTGTAAATGCTTCACTAGCACTTATGTTTATTTCCAATAAGAAAAGTAATTTATATTCTTGGTAGCTGAAAAAGCAACTTTGCTAAGAAGTTTTCCTTTTTTTCTTAATTTGGCCAATCTTTTGTTGCACTGTATTTTTACATACACAGTGAGATATACCCATATAAAACATCCTTTGTTTAAATGAAACATTTCTCAAATACCTTATACTACAACGATTAGCTCTTTTTGTTAGTTTTGCCAAAATTTTTTTACTCTACTTTCATCTGTCATTGGGTATTTTCTAAACTAGTACAACTCTCTTTCCTACTTGAGTTTCTACTGTACATGTTCTGTCATGTTTCATGCCACTTATTACAAGAACATTTAAGCTAGTAAGAACCTTTTACATTGTACTATCTACACTTAACTTCCATTTCACAAATTTCCCTCTTATATTGCCATGTCTTCTTCTAAACCAACAGGTCAAACATGTGTAAAAACCAAAAAACAAAGTTATAAAATCTCAAATACAAATGGACTTAAGTTTCTGCACTTGAAGAACTTTTCCATACCACAGAAAAAAAGACATTGAATCATATCTCACCTTTAACAATAAAGGATCAAGGGTGAATATTGTTGCAACATCCACAACATAAAGAAAATTCCAGATGTATCTACTGTCAAAATGTGATCATACATACATGTATACATGTGTAAGGCTTACAAACGGAAGTTCTTGCAATACACAAGAAGTTTAAAAACAGCTTTTAAAATTTTGAAATGCATAACAATTTAATCAGTACGTTAAGATATATATTTTGACTGAAGTTTGTACCCAGGGCTTTCAACTAATACCAATGCTATAACAATTGAATGACCAGGACTCAACCATTTTTGTTCTTGAGCAAAGCCACAATGGGCTATCTGCTGTGTCCACCAAAGGGAATTGAACCCCAAATTTTGGCATTATACCCCCTTACCCCTTAGGGCTCAAATCTCAACAAGATAGCTCAATCTTGACAACTGTACAACCTTCATCTTTGAGCCCAAAACAAAAAAGATGACATTCTCCAGTTGACTCCCCAAGGTAATTGCTGAGCCCTGTTTATTGCAAATGGTCTCATTTATCATCTAATCAGCTTTTAAAGGGAGGGGGGGACAACAAAACAAATCAAGATGTTAATCAATCTGCCTTAACTGGAGTTTGAATCCAGCATATTTGGCTCACAACAGTGTTCTGTAGCCACTGCTCTACTAACTAGCATATCAGGTCTCAAATCCCTGCAAATACCCTCCCCTCCCAATCTCAACAATGATAAATGTGCCAGTCATTAACATTTTTTCTAACATTCACTGAAAGTACAGCTTTTGGAGCTAATTCTGGAATTGTTAAGAAACAAAATTCTTAGTTTACAACAACTGCTATAAAAAAAAAAGAAATTAATTTTAAAAAATGATTTCATGCCACACAAACTGAAAGTATTTGAAAAAAACAATTCGCCAGTTGTTTCCATCATATGCAGGAAAGATGATAGAACAAGCCAGCCAGCTTTTCAAGATGGACCAATGAATGGATGTTATAATTTTTTATACTGAAAATGTATTTCCGATAGGTACTTCTCACAAGATTACCTATTCTTGTTTAGTGCTGCCCTCTATATGCAATTTTTTTT